GGGCCCACAGGGTGAGCGGGCCCCACGAGATAAGTGGGCCCCATGGGATAAACGAACCCCACAAGGTGAGCGGGCCCCACAGGATAAACGGACCCCACAGGATGAGTGGGCCCCACAGGATGGACGAGCCCTACCAGATGAACGGGCCCCACCAGATGAACCTGTCTTGCAAAATATAATAACCAACTCTGATACCAGTTTGTTAGGGGTGGCCCACGAAATAGACAAATTCAAGTTAGAACAAAGTAGACGGTATAACCAACCATATAATAGATAGGCGGTAGATACCGGCCATATAATAATTAGGCGGTAAAACCGACCATATAAAGAAGGATAACAAAGCAAATAAAAGACACAGAAGATTTACGTGGTTCGGTCAAATTGACCTACGTCCACGGGCGAGGAAGGAGCAATATTTCTATTATGAAAAAGAAATACAAAAATCGTAGGAAAGTAGTTCCTAGACTAATAAGGCACTTACAAAAGAGTTTAGAAAATATTCCTAAACTCAAAACAAGAGAGCCTAAAATATTTGACTAAATGGGCTAGATGACTCAAGAAGGTAATAACCCATATAACTCTCTTGAGTGGTGCAATTGAAACTAATCGAAGGCCCCTATATTTATAGCCTTCAGCAGCCGACTTCTCCTTGCCATTGTTCGATGTGGGATGCAAAATTCTGCCATCCAAAGTCAAGAATTGCGGCTGCAGCTGCTGCTTGACAAATCAACAAGAATAATCTTTGACTGCAAATGAGTTGTTGTACATTCTGAGAGCGAAAAATTATAATCAAGCGATTTCGTTCTGAAGGTCAGGGGCAGCCAGACTCCTATCACAGGAGATCAGCTGGGCTTGGTAATTGGATCGAACAAATAAATAATACTGATTCTAGACCGTTTGGAGTTGGTTTTGGCTGGAGAATAAAGAGTCTTTGTTCCATGTCCGAGAATTAGGATTCAAATGTCTTCCTCTTCTTCCTTCTTCCCTCCCCCTCCTTCCAAACAATTTAAGTTCAGGAACATAATTGGTTTCTCCTTTCGTTTAAAGTAGATATACGAGAGTATTCTCCAAGAAATTTGTTCCCACTCTTGTTTATCGCCAATATCCATCCCATTGAATTTTCTTCCTTGTGTGGTATATATTCTGATCTATAAACAAACTAGTGTGAGAGTAGGATCTATGCACACGTAAGAAAGAAATTTGCTTAAAAATTTTGGGAAAATGGTCATGTCCTTAAAATTTTTTTCTATTGCCGATTTAGTTCCTAACTTTTATTTCTAACCAATTTAATTCATGAACGTATTTTAAAATTCGAATTAAGGACCTCTGTGACGGTGCCACCGCTTAAAACCGATTTGACTCCTAATTAATCAACTAAATAGTGGTATTTTGAGAATGTCACTCAAGAGTTGTAATAAATTAAGTAAATCATGTAAAAAATCACAAGATTAAATTTTAAAAAAATTTTATCTGGTGATTTTTTTACACGATTTACTTGTTTTATTATAGTCTTGTGAGTGATATTCCTTATAATACTCTATTTAATTAATCAATTAAGAGCTAGATGGGTTTTATGTAGTTGTGCCATTGCAGAGGTCCTTAAAATGAAACTGTAAAATAAGTTCAAGTACCAAATTGTTCAGAAATAAAAGTTAGGGACTAAAGACACTAAAAAAATGTTTAAAGACCAAATTGACCATTTCTTCAAAAGAAAAAAAAAATTATCCCTATAACCAATACCTTAAAGTTAAATGTCTACATTACTCCAATAACCTTCCAAAACTCATACCAAGAGTTAAAACTCTAGGGAATTTGAGGAATTGAGGGGACGCTCGTCCACAAGTTGAAAGCGCTCTCTAGCAAGGCCGGAACTAGCGCGGGACGCGGAGGGGCCACCGCGCCCCAAGTTCTAGATATTCATATTTTCTCCCTTTAAATTTTTGATAATTTTGAAAACAAATCTTATGTATTTAAAGTTATTTGTCCCTTCAAAAAGTTTCAAAACATATTATATTGATTTGAAAGTTTATATGCTTATCTATTTCGGTCCCTCAAATTAAAATTTCTAATCCTGTCCATATTTATTCATTGATAACATGTATTACAGCAAACATGTATTAAAATAGAAAAGTATTTTTGTTCAAAATTTATTAACATGCTGAGTTGAATTATCTATGAGGTAAAGTAATTAAAATATAACATTAGATGATATAATTGATAGTAGTAATATAGTTTAAGAAAATAAAGTGATAATAACTCTTATCTTGATTTGATAGCTTATACGCATACTTATTTCCGTCCATCAAATTAAAATTTCTAGATCCGACCTCTAGTGCATATTTATTCATTGACAACATATATTACAGCAAATGAAGAGAACAAGACGGAGCTCATGAAACAAGTTTTCTCATTTGCAGCATCAAAACTACCAGAAATCGTCCTCTTTTGAGTCAACCATGAAATCGTCATCAAAACAAAAATAGAGAGGGAAACCAAATATGAACACAAAAAAAAAGGTCTTTTTTCTCTCAATAAATCTAAGACAGACTATATTAGGTCTTTCCAGCTCGCAGCCTCAAGTGTCAAATCTTACCTAGAAAGCAAATACCAATCAATGATGGAGAATTGAAGCCAAAGTTACGAACCAGATCCAGAAGAAAATCCAGGCCATGTTCCTGACAAGCTCATCAATGAAATACTTCTATTGGTTCCAGTGAAATCCCTGTTGAGATTCAGGTGCGTTTCCAAATCACGACTTTCCTTAATCTCGAGCCCACAATTTGACAGGTGCCGAACCTGTACAATAATAAATACCAACTCGAGAAAAATACAAATTTTGTATATAGCGGTGAGTAAGGTCGAATCCACAGGAACTAGGGATAATTCGTTTCTTCTAGAGTTCAAAGTATGGGGGGTTTTGGATTAAATGCTAACTAAATAAGTTAACTGCAGAAAATAATTGATTAAGAGAAATAATTAAGGGAAAACTCTAGCCAAGGGTACACTTCAGAAATGGTTCATGCAACTGATCATTGATTCACAGGTAAATCCAACATTTATTAATAGATTGGTTATACTTGTCTCGCACGCGCTAAACAACCAACCCTTCCTTAATTTATCGATTGCTAAGGTACGACCGTTAGCTATTTCTCTAACCCAAAAAAACCCAAATTACGCCAGTTGCTCCTAAGATAGAGATAACGAACAATTACGGATTCAATTACCTCTATTTAGGAAAATAGCCTATATGAATAATTAATTATTGCGCACTAATCAATCATACAAAAGGCTATAACAATTAAAATCAGGGAACATATAAATACCAATAAATGAAGAAAATAATTAAAAACAGATTCGATCTCACAATAATTGTCGAACCAAATCGTCAGTTGTCCCCTTGACTAGAATTAAGAGGTTAGTCCTCCATTAATGGAGAACAACCATGCGAAGGAGCTAAGAAAAGAAATCTAAAACTATTGATTGATAAGAGTTCTCTGTACGTTTGTCTCCTTTTTAAAGCCAACAATGACTAAAGCTTCTTATCCTTGTGGTTCCCGCTGAAATTGAGAATCAAACCAAAAGTGGGACTCTACCAAATTCCTTGCTTTTAGTTTCCTATTGCCCGTAGGACTCCAATCTCCTAATCAGCAAAGGGAATGCAATCTCTTTGTAGCACCATGTGGGCCCGGTTGTTTGAAATCTCAATTATCTCCAAAAAGTCCCTCATTTTTGTAGTTTTCTGTTCCATTTCCTGAAATTGAGTCCAATACCAAATATAAGTAAATATTAATAATTAAAACAATATTTGGCAAGGATAAAGGGGAAAATTAATAATAAAATAACCAACAATTAACACCCTATCACAATTCATCCGTGCCCATCTCAACAAATCTTCCAACAACAACGACTACAATCACCATAGACTGATTATACCCTAGGAACATGTATGACAATTATGGTGATGAGGTCCATTATCTCACGCAGTGCTCTCTACATCCTGTACTATACCAACATTCAATACCCCTTTCGATGCAAAAGCCAAATTAGGAGTTATTATAATTCTCAGACCGCGGGTTCTTCTAATGGATTGATACGTGTTGCTGTAGACAAAGATATTTTCTTGCGGAATCCAGCAATTAGAAAGCCCGCCGAACTTGGAACGTCCTGGCTCGATTCTTGTAGGATATGGGTTTGGCCTTGATGAATGAATCTAAGGATGATTATAAAGTGTTCCGAATTCATCACTACGGTGACATTATTTATGATGGGGCAAAACTGGCCGGATGTTTACAGTAGTTTAACCAAAACCTTTCTAGACTCTTGAGCACAAGGATTCCAGCGAGATTTATCCTTCATCATTAGAGAGTACTTATTAACCAGTAAAGACTTTTTGAAAAAGCAAACAAAGACGAGAAAACAACATAGAAATTTCATTGGTTAAAGGGAAAAATTACAGGAATTTACATCAATGGTTGGACGAAATCTGGACTCTCCAAGTCAAGATAGACAAGAAAAAAAAAAGTCAAGATAGACAAAAAAGTGAGAACTCAGTCAGTTTTGTCTATTCCAGCTCCACAACACACAAGTTTGCCAGCTTCTAAGAAATCACAACCACAACTAAATCGCAAGATCAAGTGTTATCAAAAGTCATTCCTTGGCTTGGACAAAAGACATCAGCCTTTCCGGGGTAATTGGGGTCTCTTTAGGTCTTAGTAGCAGGTTCCTGCATAGGTTGGTATCCCACATCGAGTTTGGGGGGGGGATTTGGGGTAGGTTATAAGTCTCCTGCAGGAACCATAAAAGTTGCCGGCTTTTCTGGTTTCTGAAGGTTTAGGTTTGTAAGTTATCAAAAGTCATTCCTTGACTTGGACAATAATGCCATCAGAAACAAAGAACGAAGAGCCATTAGCATTTCGTTGCAGCTCATATAGATGACGAGGCCCCTCTCGTCGCTTCTCAGCTAGACGTAAAGCCTCCTCTCGTCGCATCTCAGCTAGACGTTAAGCCTCCTGCTCCTCCTCCTCCTTTTGGATTTGTTCTGGAATTATCGTTGCTAAAGTCCTGGCAACAAAGGGAAGGCCAGCACAATTTTTGCTGATTATCTCCTCCATCTTTAACAGAGTGCTGTTATTCACATCAACTCTTCCATCTTCACGGACAGCTTCAGAAAACACTGACCAGCCAATCTCTCGGTCCAGCAGAGTATCAATTGGCATCAAGTTCTCCTCACCTACCATCTCTCTAGCAACACGCTCTCGCCTACTTGTGACAATGATCCTCCCGCCACTATCTTTGGGCAAGGCGTGAGATATGCAGTCCCCGAATGATGCATCATCGCCTTTTGGCTGCTCAGAGCATAAATCCCCATACCAACCATTAACATGCCAGACCTCATCCAGCACAATAAGATACCTCTTGCCCGTCAGTCGACGGTAAAGTTTCTCAGTGAGATTGGGAATATCGCCAACATTAGTAGTCGACAATTCTGAGACATCACAACCAGCCTGCTCCAGCATCATCCTCGTCGTCCTCATTTTTACCAGCAATTGAGGCGGGATCTGCCCCCGTTGAAATCTTTAGACTGAGAACTTCTTCGAGCTTATTGTCTAGTTCATCCAACCGTCGATTCTTTTAAATAATGAACCACAAATGCTTGAATCGCAAGATACCCTTCTTGTGCCCCACGGCCGCCTCCCCGCGATGCTGCTGGGCGAAAACGCGGCACTCCGAGAGTGCAGAAATGAGGTCATAGAGCAACTTCCGGATGTCAAGATCCGTACAAGAATTAGCACGGGTGGTTAGTTTGCTAGTATTGATAGCGTTGGCGTACTTGGATTTGATGCGGGTCTCTGCACTTCGGAAGCGAGAGATGCAAGAAAGTCTGCTGAGATCTTTATCTCTCTCTGCTTCGTCAAGAAGGGCAGAGAACTTAGATAAAAGATAATGGGATACTTCTCCAAAATCCACCGATCCCATCACTCTCGGGAGTCAGAATCAATCCCAAAACTGGAAGAGAACCGGCAGATGGAATGGACGGAAGACTAAGAGATGGAAGGAAGAAGACTCAAACAAGTGAAAGTCTTCTCGCGTGAATATTTTTTAATTAAAAGAAATTGATTTTTTTAAGGGGATAATTGCAATTTTAGTCCCTAATGTTTAGCCCTTATGATGCATTAGTCCTTATATTTTGATAAAAGCAAATATGGTCCTCAATGTTTAGCAAATGTGTAGTTTTAGTCCCTAAAGTTTTTGGCAGGAACAAATTTAGCTCTTTATGTCATCAATTTGAAACAAATTTAGGACAATTGATTGATTTTTTCAAATATTGATGGAATCAGTTACATGCAATTAGATGTTTGTTCAATTAAACTTTTTAAAAAGAAGAAAACTAATAAGTACTCATGAACAATAAGAACAACTTATATGATGGCATACTAGTAACTAATTAACTAAAAAAAAGGAAACAAATTTGTTAATCTAGATGAAAAATTAAATTACGAAGCATGGGATAGTAGGGATAGAGAAAGAAAATGAACTCTATATTAATGAACTGGATGCTCTGACTAGAGGTGTCAAAATGGGTGATTTGGACGGGTTTGGGTTGGGTAAAATAGGTAATGGGTATAAGTGAGTCAACTCATTAATACAATAATACCCATTTGATTAGATGGGTATAAATGGGTAAGTCAAAAAATGAATTGAATAACCCAATTACCCATTTATAACCCATTTATTTTAACTTTTTTTTAACTCATTTAAATTCATTTTGTAAACTAAGTTATCAATTTATACCACTCTTTGTACCCATCATTATTTTTAAATATTTACTTATAATGTTCAATAAACTTAATTACCATTTTTTTTCATTTATACTCTATGTCACAAAATTACCTATTATTTAATAATTGAATAATAAGAATATAAAAATTTGAACTAAGTACTATAAAAATTAATATAAAAACTTAATCCAAAAATTTTGAACCCCTAACATTTTTCATAAATAAATTTAAATTTTCATTTTATAAAGATAAGAAAATAGGCTAAAATTTATCATAAATTGATAATGCTAAAAAATGAGCAAGTTAACAAACTAAGAGAAAATAAAATAATAAGATAAAATCAACAAATAATAATAATAATAATAATAATAATAATAATAATAATAACAATAATAATAATAATAATAATAATAATAATAATAATAATAATAATAATAATAATAATAATAATAATAATAATAATAATAATAATGAAACAAAAGTAGTTAACATCATGACAAAATGAAAAATTTGAAAAAAAAAAGGTGGGGGAAAAGAAGAGACTTGGGGGGAAGAGAATTCTAAATGGGTTAATTGGGTTTGATGGGTTATCCAATAATATCCATTTATTAAATGGGTATTATTGGGTAACCCATTTATACCCATATACAAAAATTTAAGATACTCATACCCATTTATTCATGGACGGGTATGGGTAAATTTAGTTAAGTGGGTTGATTTGCCACCTCTAGCTCTGACTAGTTTTAGTTTAAAAATTTTTCCATTTTTTAACTGGTTTATTAGTTAGCACAAGAGTTATTAGTTTTAATTCGTTTGTTTAAAGTTAGATAGTACTGTTTTGCTTCTTTATTTGGAAATTTAATTTAACAAACACATGAGTAGACATGATTAAATTCTGTTAGTAATTGGGAAAAACTTTACACCGTCCTAAATTTGCTTTAAATTGGATACATTAGGGGCCAGATTTACTCTTGCTAAAACTTTCTAGATCATAACTGTTAATGGCTAAACATTGAGGATCCGATTTAATTTTGCCAAAACTTTAAGGACTAAAATTGAATGGGGGCTAAATATTGAAGACTAAAACTGCATTTTTCTCTTTTTTAAGAATTGATTTTTTATACGCTAGAATTCACTTTCATGATCAATGCATGCTCATGTTTTCCTATAAAAGGTAGGAAAAATCATCAATTTAGTCCCTAAACATTTTCACTAATGCCAATTTAGTCACTGAAAGTTTTTTCACATGAAATTAGTCCTTCAAGTAAAATCAATGTGCCAATTAAGGACTTGTGTAGTGGTACCACGCCAAACATGTCATTTATTCAAATAGATGGTGGTCCATTTTGAGGCTTTTTAGATTGTTCACGCGAGAATCATCTTAATGCTTCAATCCAAAATAAAAGCATGATTAAAAGGCAGAAATTAGGGAAACATATGAGAGAGAGAAAGAATGAAACCAAATTAGGGCTTTTTCTGCCATCTAAAATCTTTATCAGTAGACATCAATTAGATGACGGAAAATGATCTGAATGACATAGAATCACTATGGACAGAACAATTGGGTGAGTAAAAGAATGTGAAGGGCAAAATTAGTCAAATGGCAGTGAGAAATTGTAGCAAGTCAAGTCACATATCATTTTACTTGAAGTGAATTGTTGTGATGATTTGGTTAAATAATTTGCTAATTCTTTACTTATTGTGAATCGATTTTTCATTTTATACACTCTGACCATGTTATGAGTAGGAAAGATGTGGTCCTTTTGTTGGTAAAATTGCATTATATTGTTGCTTTTATACTACTAGAAATAGGGATAGAAAAATGATTGAGCATGTGGGCAATAATTAATAATTTTTTTGTCTTTTTTTGAAAAAAGATAGAAGTAGGACACAAATTGGATATTACGCTGAAAATACTTCAAGATAGAGTATATTTTGGACCCCCAGAAGAAAAGTATGTAGGAGGTAGTGTGGAATCTTTTGAGAGCGTTCTTACTACTCGGGTTAGATTGAACAGTCTCTCTTCCTTTTGTACTTTGTTTGGGTGTGAAGGCAATATGAAATTGTATTATAGAGTAGGTGGAAAGGATGTGTTTAAACTTTGCAAAATAGATAGTGAAGATGATGTTGCGGATATGGCTGCCATAGGGATCTGATGTTGAATTATATTTGGTACAAGAATTCCATATTAGATTCTTGGAAAGTAAATTAGGCAGCTGTAATGTTGATACAGCTGAGTCTAGCGAATCAAAAGAAGATTGTTTTTATGTTGACATAACCCTTGACGATTGCACTACCTTTGAAGATATTATAGCGCCAGTTGAAGTACTTGAGGAAAAAGATGCCTGTAAAGTTGATAATGATGTAGAATCAGAATCTATTGATGCTGAAAGTTGTAATGATAGTGATTATGACTTTAGCAAAGATGATGATGATGTGATTTTCCAGAAATCTGTTGCTAGTGCTAAAAAGGAGCTACAAAGTGATTAGAAAATGGGAGAAACACTACCGGGTGAAGGAACTCGAGGCATTAGAAATGATACCACAAATCCAGCAATAATAGTAGCATCCAAGCAAGAAAGTACCAAAATTAAAGATAGGGCTTATGATGACTTCAATCTATATGATGGAGATCCCATTCTAGTGCATGAAGAATCAGCCTCAATCAACACTCAGGAGCTAAACAACAACTGTCAATTCTCGGATGAAGATAGTTTAAGGAAGAAGAAGCAAAAATATGTCAAGTTTAAACCTGAAATAGACATGGACGATCCAACATTTTTTGTTGGGTTGTTGTTCAATGATAAACAGATCTTTCAAAGAGCTGTTGATTATTATGGTGCGAAATAGGGAAAAGTATTTCGATGGAAAAAGAATGATATTAACAGAATGAGGGCTAATTACAAGGCATCAAATTTTGGCAAGTTCATTTATGCTTCCAAAGAGATTGATAGTGATGCCTTTGCTATACGGACCATGGACCATCTTGTCATTGTGTTAGGACATTTTAGCACAAATGGCCTAACTTAGGTTTCTTAAGTAGATATTACATGAAATTTATTAAGCTGAACAAGAGAGTGACTATTGCATAATTCAAGGAAAAAGTTCACCTAGAACTCAATGTCAACTTCACTAAGGACCAAGCAAGCAAAAATTCCATGAAGGCCAAGCTGTTGATTCATGGTAATTATAAAAACCAATACAGAAAGCTGTGGGACTATTGTGAAGAGCTGCTTACTTGTAATCCCGGATCAAAAGTGCATATGGAGACCTCTATTGACGAAGTTAGAGGTAAGGAGAGGTTTCAAAGATTATACATATGTTTTGAAGCATTGAAAAAAGGGTTCAAGGCTGGTTGTAGACGTGTAATTGGGTGGATAGCTGTCACTTGAGGGGTCCATACCCTGGAGTTTTGTTAATAGTAGTTGGTATTGATACAAATGACTCCATTTATCTTATTTCCTATGCCATAGTGGAGGTCGAAAATAAGAGTTTGTGGAAATGGTTTATAGAGTTCTTAAAGTATGACTTGCCAATTTATGAACAGAAGAGTTGGACCTTCATTAGTGATAGGCAAAAGGTAACTTTCGATAATTTATGCTTGCTATGTTTTTATTTTCTATTTTAATGAATTGACTTTTTGTTGTTTGTATTGGTCTATTCTTGTAGGGTTTAGGATCTGCCATTCAAGAAGTGATTCTAGTGTGGAGCATAGACATTGTGTATGGCACCTACACAACAACATGAAGAAGGTT